GAATGCAATCAAAGTTTTGCTGTGAAGCCGTAGAGCTTTTTTGTTCATAAATTTTTCAAACTGACCAGTAAGATTATAAATCTTGCTCGGGCGTTTGTTGTTTTTAATAAGCCTGTGCAAACACAGCAAACTTGTTTTATTCAATGTGCTATTTGAGATACTATATAACTCGTCAATTTTTTCTAGATTGCTAAATGTTTTTGCAATGGTCGGCATACATGCTGTCCTTCTTTGTTTGGTCCTAGTTACTACTGTTGTATTTTTGAAAATGGACGTTGTTGCGGGGACGGGACATGCTGTCCCCATGGTGTTGGATGCGGTGAACCATATCAATGTCTGGGGCCGCATAATATGACCAACAAATAAATTGAAACGATTTGCATGCGCATGTCGAGGGGATTTTTTTACATAAACTCCTGGCCGCGCTGACTTTATTGAAGATTTTTTCGTTTTTCCTTCGGTAAATTTTGTTAAAAGTTCGTGTGGATGCTTTATAATAAGAAAAATTATAACATACGCAAAATAGAAGAAAATCTACCATTAGGTTTATATGTAGCTGAAATTCTTAAATACCTCAAAAAATTCTTAAATAGAATTGCTTTAATGTTAAACATAATGCTTCTTGAATGAATAAAAATCGTCACGCAAAAAATCAGAAAAACTCACCAAACCGAAAAAAAAAATACGAACGATTCATAAAAAACTAGAAGGTGAAAGTGTAAAAGAAAATGAGACATGGTTGCCATAACAACGCAAACAGTTATCCTATTCAAGCATCTTCAGTCTTTACTGGCATTCTTCAATATTCCCTCATAGTTCATACTTCCAAAGTTTGAGTGTATTTGATCCAAATAATTTTGTAAGTTACCTGAAACACCCGAATCTCGGGTGAACTGCAGGGAGCTTCCTTAAGTATAAAAGCTCACTTTAGATAATTTAAGTGTGTTAAAGTAACAAAGTCTTTTCACTTCTTTTTCTGAGAAATATATCTGATTAAAGTACAAACAATATATCAAATATCAAATAATGATTTTCGTAAAGTTATTTTTGACTCCTTGAGGCTGTTTACGTGATCCTGGCTAACTGAGATTCAGCGAGGCATAAAAGATTTTGAGGCATTAAAATGATCAAAAGTTCAAGCGAAAAAAATACAACTGTTCGTTAAGCATCACAAGTCATTGCTATAGTAATTCTAAGCTCAGGCCAAATTAGCTGTGTTCATTTTAAATGCTAGGCGTAGCTACTTATACAGTCAGAATATTGTGAAAATGCTGAAGAAGATTAATCTGATGATAATCTCTTCCATTAGCCAAAATCATTTATTGCTTGGTCGAATCCCGGCTACCCATGTAATCAATCCCCTATAGTGGTGAAACAATCCAAAAATTTTAAAAATAAAAAGCAGGCTTCACCACATTTTCCACATAGGCAAAATAAAAAATGCTTATCGATATGAAACAACTAGATTCTTCATATCTTCACGATGCTGCTTTAATTGTTTAACTTCTGTTATTGTTGGACTTATAAACATCAGAATCGTTCTGATCAAGTTTTCATTGTGATCAAGTTTTCCGATACAAAGGAAAAGTGATCTTTTCCCGTTACGACATATTTTCTCAAATATGCGCTTATTAAAAATTTAACCATGAAATCGAGGCTAAGTTTATTTCTCGGTGTTTTTGAGCTGTTACAAACTTAGTTAAAAACAAACAGAAAGCTGCTAAGTTTTGTGGTACATTGTACGTTGTAAATAAATGAGATAAATATTCCAAATAAAGGTAAGTTTACACACACGCCATATTATCTGATTCTAGGTGTATATGGAAACTTTACTTGTTTAAGAAAAATTGCTGTATCCTTTGTGTTTTCGCGATTTCAAAGCCAAAAAGAAAACAATTATGTGGAAGAAAAACAGCAGAGCAAAATCAAAGCTTGTCATCGTAGCAACAGAGGCAATGTTTATTTTTATTACTGCCTGAAAAAATAAAGAATAAAATAAAATGAACTGTGGCGGAGCAAGCGGTCAGCATGACTAAAAATTTTCACAAAAATAACTTCATTATTAGATATGATCTTCGCACTTTGTTGGACAATTTAAGCAATTATCTCATGAACCTGAAAATTCAGGTGACTCAGCAGGATTCGAACCCATGACCTCTGCGGTGCCGGTGCAGTGCTCTGACCAACTGAGCGATGAAGTCACACAGTGGTGAGCAGGTCAATTTTGTTGGGCTCATGTTTTCTCGTGAGAGGAATGTCATATGAAAGAATTAATTTAATTTCAAACACCGCACTGCATGAAACATTCTTTCAGAGCACTACACCGGCACCGCAGAGATGGTGGGTTCGAATCTCGTTGAGTCACCTGAATTTTTCAGGTTCATGAGACAATTTCTTAAATTGTCCAACAAAGTGCGAAGATCATATCTACATTTAATTTCAAACACCGCACTGCATGAAACATTCTTTCAGTATTATTATTGTCATTGTAGATTCTGATATGTTTCTTTAAGGATTAATCTATTTAGATACTATTGTATTGCGTTTTGCGTCTTATTCTAGTATTCTACTACGTTTTATTTTGCGGTTATGCCTAGTTCTCATTCGCCGCAAAACGTCGGCGATAGAGCTTTTACTACATCGGCGAGCTCTTACGATTAATGAGAACGCTTGAAAATTGTGTTGACGATTTTTTGTGACCGTCGCCGTACATCATATTTGCCATCGCAAGAAATAAAGCTGTTTGTTTTTTTTGCGATCATCGTCAATCATTGCCGATCATTGCCGAGTGGTACTTGCGAAAGAAATCTTTCAGAACAAGAATCTGTTGAGTTGGGCGACTTCGGCGACAACTTATATCATAAACGATT